TCCTTTTATTTTCTTCCCTATTAAAGAACTGCTATTCCCTGCTCCCATATTTATAGCACTTTGGAAAAAGGGGTTGGGGACATGTTTATATTCTCCATTTCAGAGGAGGCTCCTGCCTTCCTCAGCTGACACCTGGCTTTTGAAACCAAGACATCTGCACAAACCATTGCTGTATGAGCAGAAACTGCACCCGGCCTCACCAGAGACATCTCAGGGAATGAGCCAGGAACAGCTCCTGTCAATGCAGGCCGGGCTCTGACTCAGGATTTTCCAGTTACACTCAGGATTTTCCCAGGTTTTCTTTCCATGAATCCAAGTCCTCTCAAACAGTATTCACCCACAGGATTCATTCCTGCCTGGGATGCCAGATGCTGCCTCCAGCTCCACTCCAAGATGCAGATGGAGAGTGGAGGGGATGATGTGGGTGCACACACGAGCGTGGGCTTCTCCTCCGCTGCTGTGAATCAGCCACAATCACAACAGCCAGTGATGATCTGCTCAATGCTTTTAAAAAAGGACACTTAAAGGAACGTGAGCAAAATTAAAATACTGAACTAGCTAGTCAGATTAAGAAACCACGAGCTGTAAACCTTAGAAGAGAAACACAATTTTGCCTCTAACACAAAGAGAATTTTTAAGAGCAATTCACTCTGTCTGTTCTTCAAGGAGCTTTTTCAGCCTGGGCTTATGCTCACTTTTTCAAAAGAGGCTGACCTGAACATTTTTTTATTTCTTTCAAGCACAACAATCCAACCCAAAGCCATTTCTTTTTGTCTGGCTCTGTATTAATTTCAATTCCATCAACGAGGCAGTTGCATAACTCTTGTTTGTAATTGCTGTCACGTCAGCCCTGACACTGATCACTGCAACACTGAAGTTATATAAAAGGTTTTGTTAGGATTTTTGTTATTTTTCTCGTTTAAATTTTGGGAAGATGAAGTCCTACCCTGGAGAGATGTTTTGGTTTTCTAAGCTCTGTTGTCTATTAGTCTTGTGCTTTGGTGTCTTTTCTCTCCAGTTTTGTTTTACACAGTGCAAGGGTCTGTTTATGCACAGAAACTCTCCAAAAAGTTCTGTGCACCCCACTAATACACAGGCTATAAAATAAACTCTGCTGAGTCAGAGAAGCTACTGGCAAAAGCAAAGTTCACAAAATGGGTTTGCTCTTAAGGGGCAATTTAAATTTCTGGCAAGGCAGACTATTTAAATGCTCCAGTGGCTGGAATTGTAATTTACCTTGTTCTTCCAGAACCACTGGGCTGTTTCCATGCAATGATGGAGTATCAGACCCCATGGGATCCTTTCTCCTTGAGTCTCTTCACCCAAACACCCAGAATTGCTCCTGGAACCCAGAGTCAGCTCCTCCAAACTCCTCTCAGTGTCCTTGCTCCTCCTGAGCACTCCTGATCATCCCCTTTGACCCAGGGCTGTGCTCACCTGGCAGGGAGGCTTCTCCTGCCCCCAGAGAATTTAAATGATCCATTTTACCACTCATTTTCTGTCCTGCTGGAGGCACAAATGCCAGGGCCATACTCACAGATCTCTTGGGCCCAAGGTATTCTGAAAGGCATTCAGCACTGCAGACAGAAATGCTTCAAGCCAACAAATAATGAAGGATTTTATTTTGACATCAGTGAATTGTACCCAATACTTACTCCACTTATGTTCCTTCATACTTAAAAGCAATCTGTTTGTAGCTGACATTGTTTTTTTCTTTAAAAAAGTCTAGACAATGTCAGATTCTGCAAGGGGAAAAATGAAAAATATACTGAAGTACCAATATAACGAAGTATCCATGCTCCCTCCTAAAAAATAAAAAAGAAAACCCTTCAAGACCAGAAAATATAAAATATATCTGCTTCTTACAGTATCTTTTCTGTAAGTCCTGCCTCCCTGGGGAGGAGAAGCTTCTTTAGAGATGGGCATGGGATGGCAGGAAACCACATCTCTCCTTCCCAGTCCAAAATCAAAAGAAGCTTGTAAGGGCTAAACCATTGCAAAGAAGCTAAACCAGAGCAAAGCAAGGCTCATGCTGGAGGTCTGGGCTTGTAACCCATTTATTTCATCATTTCCCAGGAGACAGCAGTACCAGCTGCTCCTGAGGGGAAGCAGCAAGGAAGGAGTTGGTCAAGTGCTGTTTTCACATGGTCATTGTTCAAAATTCCTTCTGGATTGTGTGTGCAGCTTCAGGGGAACAGGCAGCTCTCAGTGAGAAACAATTGTCACCTTCTGGGTGCTGGGAGCTTTGCAAACCACAGATCTGAAGCACCTAGGGAGGCACGGGGAGCCTGGGAATGCAGTTTAGCCAGATGCAGAGCATCATTCCTAAAGACACTCCCACAGGAACCCAGTGGTGTTTGAAATGAGAGGGGTGTGTGCCAAAGCCAGGGCACAGCCACTCAACACACAGTTACATTTCATTCATTAATTTCACAATTTGGATAGAAGAGATCAAACTTCAGCAGAGAGGTAAAGGTTCAAGTGAGATACACAAATAGATGCCCTGTGAGTTGTTCTCTTATCTTCACCTGAGACCTTGTGACTGAGACAAAGGCAGCTCGTGCTCAAAGGCAATTAACTCAAGCCCTTGGAGTGGTTTTCAAACACACAGATCTCACTCTGGGTGTTTGTGGCCTATTTCTCAAGGATTTGTGAAAGGCAGCTGAGGAAGTCAGGGCTCCTGTCAGTGACTCTGCTCTTTAAGCACGTTTGTGTGCCTGAAAGCTGCTAACAGACCCCAAAGTCCACACGGACTGCACCCCAACCTCGGGGCTGTAAGAAAGGCTCTGCCATGGACACACCTCCCCTGCTCTGCATGCTCAGGCTCTCACAGCAACCTCAGCTCTCACAGGGGTGATGTTGCCTCACTCCTCTGGAGATGCAGCTTGTGGAAAGCTAAGAAGAAATAAGAAAATGCATCCCAGAATTCAAAACCCTCTGATAATGTACTGAAAGAAATTGATGTTTTAGGTTTAATCCCAAGTGTAGTTTAAGGCAAGTTTTTTCTATTTTAGTTATCTCTCTTGCTCTGTTTGGAATCCAAGCACATTAGCAACAGAAATTGTTTTAACATGTCCTGTGTTTTTACATCTCTCTTGTGAAGAACACCAGCATGTCAAAGAACTGAACACTTCCAACAAGTTAGAGAGGAGAAATAAAAAGGTATTTGCATTTAAACTGTGTTCATGCATAACCCAAGCCAGGTTTCTCTCAGCAGCTTCATTTTCCTGGGGATATCACTGGGTAGGAATGGTGCAATCAGCCCTGGGAGAACTCTTGTCCCTGCTCTGCCACATTCCCAGTAGCTGAGTTTGGGCTTAGCTCAGACACTCTCCTCTAAGCAAAAGAAATAATCCTTCATTACTGTCAGGAATGAAATGCTGAATGCTCCAAGGAAGCCACACAAAAAGCTTCAATAATGTGCACTTGCTTTGTTAAGGGCACCTAAGAGATGTTTCATACAAAACATGTGGTGGTGCTTTGGAAAATCCCGCTCCAGTCACCGGCCCAGGCCTTGCCCTCCACCCAGGGGTGCCTGCCCAGCTCTGGGTGCTGTGTGTGAATTCACAGCTCCACCATCCATGAAGGGTACCCTGCCCAGCTCAGGGATGCTGTGTGAATTTACTCCTTCACCATCCACCCAGGGGTGCCTGCCCAGCTCTGGGGTGCCCTGCCCACCTCTGGGTGCTGTGTGTGAATTCACAGCTCCACCATCCATGAAGGGTACCCTGCCCAGCTCAGGGATGCTGTGTGAATTTACACCTTCACCATCCACCCAGGGGTGCCCTGCCCAGCTCTGGATGCTGTGTGAATTTACACTTTCACCATCCACCGAGGGTGCCCTGCCCACCTCAGGGATGCTGTGTGAATTTACACCTTCACCATCCATGAAGGGTGCCCTGCCCAGCTCAGGGATGCTGTGTGAATTTACTCCTTCACCATCCACCCAGGGGTGCCCTGCCAGCTCTGGGTGCTGTGTGTGCCTTTACAGTCAGCCAGAATTTACTGCAGACTTCAAATGGGACCTGGCTTCAAAGAACCAAAGTTTCTGCTTTCATGGAGACCCAAGCCTCTGTGTGTCACACTGCATCTCTCCAGGGCCCTCCCCAGATGAACTCCCTCTTCCAGTTATGCTCAGGTTCAGACACCTGTCCCTATTCAAGGTCCTCAGTCAAAGGAGAATTTGGGATTTAGAGACTCTCCAGCCCTACCCATGTTCATGGTGGCTCCAGCTGCTCTGCACCAGGGAGAGCTTTTCCATTTTGTGTCTCACTCCTGTGTCAGACACTGAGCACAGTTGGGCAGCTGGTGTATAAACCACCCCAGCCTGCTTGTATTGAGCTGGTGGAGGGCAGAGTTAGCTCTTCAGCCAAGCACTTCCCAACCTGCCATTTTCCAAGTGATCTGTTGATCCAGGATTGCAGCTCACTCACACAGGTGGGGCTGTAGGAGGAAAGGGATTTTAATTGCAAGGGTTGTAGAAACAGCAGAGATGGATTTTAAGCCCCACACTCTGGGCTGTTTGATGGCCCCTCTGAAGCTCACAGCTGCCACTACAATGACTGCCTACTGTACTTTAAACACTTTCTGCTTTGGCTGATTTGATGAGGCTCCCCCTTGGCTTTCCATCAACATCACCCCAAGGAAAGTTGGCCCCAGCACTTTTGCAGACTGAGGTCTAAAGAGAACATGAACAGAAGGCAATCTAATTAATGTACAAAGGAAAATGAAACAGAAATGTGTTCTTTATTCTTAATACTCTTTACTCATGTAACTTCTCCAACCATCTATTAATGTTAATTTTGTCCTTTCTCCCAGTGACAGCTTCAGCACCAGCGAGTTCTCCTCACATCAGCTCTTTTGGGACTGGTTATAAGCAAAGCTATAGGGGAATGTGGCTCAAGGGACAGGGTTGCACCTTCTCACTGAAGGTCCAGGTTACTCAGTTGTACTGCAAGGCAAACACTGCCAGAGTTAAATAACCACACAAAGCAAATATATACTCCATAAAACATTAATATTTTAATGAAAAATCTTAGCTTCATATTTCTATCCAAAGACACTCAAAACTAGTTTTTCTCCCCCCTTAATTTTGACCTATAATGGGACCAGTTTGGAGATTTTTTTTTTGTATTTTGGAACTTTTTTTTTAAAGATTAAACAACCAGGCTAGCAAAAAGGTACCCAATACATACTTTTCTTATATCAAACAAGCTAGTATTTCAATACAATGTAACTATACAGAATATATACATTACACATATGATCACAAAGCAAACACTACAGGCTCAGAACAGATTTGAAAAAACATGATATTCACATTGATTACAATAACTCTAAAAATGATTGTAACGTTGAAACGGCACTTAGTTTACAAAAAAAGTCACAAAAATATATATAGCCACCAAGAACTATGGTTCCTGAAAAATACTAATAGCCAGATAGTATTATATAAAATGTGAAGTGTATTTAAACATCGTATACATTAAAAAACAAAACCAAAACCCAAAACCAATTCTGTTAGGTCAATAAACATGCCAAGTAATCTAGCTGTGGCCAGCATCAACAAGAGAAGCTGTACTGTGGATGAGATGATGACTGGATATACGGCTGGTGACTGGAGACTGGCACAGTTAAGGGGGTTTCACTGTTACTAAAATGCACAAAGAAGCCCAACAATAATTTAATTCACATTTTTTTTTTTCCCTCCAGCTTCCACTTTTCCCTCTTTGGGGTTTCACCATGGGGCAGCACCTTGAGTGAAGGCACTGCAGAACAGAGCAAGGAAGCTGTCCAAGGACTCGGTGTAGCCAGGGTTACAGGTCAGAATATCAAAAGCATGCATCAGCTAAATGAATGGTGAAACAAAATCACTCTTCTGGGGACTTCAGCAACCCTCAGGAAGACTGTAGGTACAGTTGCCACACGGGCTGGCAGCACCAGATTCCACTTTTTTTTTTTTAGTGCAACCAGATTTGTAGCTGAGAGCTGTGGGACACAGAGTTACTGTGCTAGAACACGGAGTGAACGAAAATCCAGAGCAGTAAGTACTGTTGCACTAAAAAAATTCACATTTGTTTCTTTTATGGTACATTTCCTCAAATACTTGGAACCCACTCTATTTACCAGGTACCTCTGATGTGGGGAGGCACTGTCTTGAACCCTCTTACCTGCCATCATCACGATGCTATGGGATTTATTATGTCTACAGTTGGAGATGAGAACCCTCCAAAACAGGATTTCACCTTGTGAGCAAAACTGGAACGTGAGCGGCCTGAATGAAAATCAGCTATTTTCCATATTCTGATGGTGTGGAAGTTGCAATGGATGTAGGAGCAGCAGGTGCTCCTCCATCTGAATTCTCTCATCCCTGCAGGGTGCACAAAGCTCCTGCTGGATTTGCATATAAAATGCTTCCTGGTTTGTCTCTGACAGAGACCAGCACTCACCTCAGCCCTCCCAACCCGGGGCTGCAGGGTGGAACCAGCGACCAAGAAGTGCCTGAAGCCCTCATATAAAACCTTAAACCATAGCTTAAAAACAATAAAACTCCATCCCACAGGGGACATATAGGGATCATAGTCTTATAAAATATATCTGACTGCATTGGCAGCTATTACTTTTTTAAAAAGTTTAAATTCACATCTTTTAGACTCAGAATCCATGTGAACCCAGAACCATTTTCAATACCCGAGTCTACTGATCTCTCAGTATGAGAGACTTGGCCGTGGTCTCTGCGAGCCTGACAACTGAACTCCAGCTGTGGGAACAGCACTTGGGCTCACTCTGCTTGCAGCAGGAGGGCTGAACCACATCAGCCCTGACCCTTGTCTAGCAGACACAGAAATGCATACTAAATAATGGATTTTTTTGGGAGGGAGGGGAAAAAAGCTAAGAAGAAATAAGAAAATGCATCCCAGAATTCAAAACCCTCTGATAATGTACTGAAAGAAATTGATGTTTTAGGTTTAATCCCAAGTGTAGTTTAAGGCAAGTTTTTTCTATTTTAGTTATCTCTCCTTGCTCTGTTTGGAATCCGAGCACATTAGCAACAGAAATTGTTTTAAGATGTCCTGTGTTTTTACATCTCTCTTGTGAAGAACACCAGCATTTCAAAGAACTGAACACTTCCAACAAGTTTTAGAGAGGAGGAATAAAAAGGTGTTTGCATTTAAACCGTATTCATTTCTATGGAGAAAAGAGATATTAACAAGAAACAATTACAGACAGGAAAATTAACAAGTAAACCCAACCCTAAACCCACCAAACCAAATCCTCCAAGAACTCTATTCTTTCTCCAGTTGAACCAGATTGAAAAATGAGAACTAGATTAAGATGTTACCCAGAGATTAGGAGGCTGAAAAGATAATGTGTAACACACAGTGCAATGAAAAATGAACCCAGGCCTTGCCTTGTACCTCGGTGTTAATGATCCTTGTGTCTTTTCAAGGAAGAACAGATCAGAGCTATAAAGTCTTTGTAACTTTCCCCTTTCTCTTTGGTATTCTGAAAGCAATTTGCCTTCTGACTCAAAATTTTAAGTCTTAAAAATCCAATATCCAGGTATGTCTGTGGTGTATTTGTACCTTCTCACCAATGAACTCTTTAGCAAAATACTTCAGGGATGAAAATGATCAGATTTTAATGATCAGATTATGTCCTCCAGCTCATACCTGACCACCTTTGATTATTACATCTCTGCAGTCAGGAAATGTGGTTTGAGTGAAGCACTGTTCAGAACATGACTCACAAAGGGCTCTCATTTACCTGTGGAACATGTCAGGAAAAAGAGAAAACGCTGGGTTTGAGCTCAGTGTTGCAGCCCTCTAGGTCAGAATAAAGCTCAGCAAAAGGCATTGTCTTGTCTCACTGGCTTCTCAGAGAAATCCCAAGTGCAAGAGAAATGGTCTCTTAATTCAGCTCATCAGCAGGCACTGGGCTATTTCACAGTACAGCAGCCCAGAAAAAGCATTTCTCCTTCAAGCCCTTTTAAGAAGCCTCACAAAGGTAGATATAATCAAGACTGAATTGCAGCACAGAAGTTCTTTGCAGCATGTTTCTAAAACACCCTTTGGATCTGGTGGAGAAACCTCATTCCAGCAACCCGGAAAGTACTTAAATCCCAACTGTTTTCACTCTATTTAACTAAAATATGTGGGTTTAACCTAAAAAGAGAAAAATTGTTGAGGTCATTGAAACCCTTTAAACACTTTCCAAAGGTCAATAAACTTTTTTCCTTACAAAAGCTGGCTATTAATAGAAAGAACTCAGTCTCAGAGAGTATCAGAGCTGCCTAGGCTGCCTGAATACAAATTGATGTGCAATATAATACCACTTTTGTGTCTTCTGTTTCTTCAGGAGCAACCTTGCTCTATTGGTTTCATTTCCTCCTCATGTTTGCATAAAACAAATCCGGAAAATAACAGAAAATAGCAATTAACAAAAAAAACAAGACTCAAAACTAAGGGAGTGTATCATGCCTTTGGAATACTGAGATCAAGCAATACCTACTCACACAGCACATCATCTGTAGGCCATGGGCATTTGGCATCAAACACTGAGTTAACTTCAGAAGCTGTAAGAAAAATCACAAATCTCCTAATGTACTTCCTAATTTAGGTTTCAAAGCAGTACTTGAGCCCAAACAGCCTCGACCAAACAAGACTCACTGCTCTGAAAATCCCACACCCTCCATTCGTAGCTTTTTCTAAATATGGAAAAATGAAATTGCAAATATTTCAGTTTATTGCTTGCTTGAGCTGTGTGTGTAGCTGGAGTAATGGCCTTTAATAAACCGAGTTGGCAAGGATTTAAAGTGTTTTGAAACAGGAACAATTCATCATTGCTCTATAGGCTTTTTGTAAACAGCCCCCTGTTGGTTAGAAAGTTGTCCTTAGAGAGAATAAATTGCTTGTTTTATCCAAAACAGTCTAGTAAAAATCTCTGAAACTATACATACATATGTATAAACAAAAAAAAAGTGCAATAATGCACAAAAGAGTTTATTTTTTCCAATCTGTAAACTCCCTCTAGCTAAATCTCAGATTAGTAAAAACACAGTGTGTATGTGAGGGGGCAATGATCAGAACTGCAAATAATCTGGCCATGGTTTAAGAATTTCAGTTTGGGAAAACCTTCATTTCCCTTTGTGGCTCCCCATCTACAGACAGGTACAGTCAGGAGATATTTGTCAGGCTTGCATGGCTGAACACTTCTCCATCATTCCCAATTCCTGGTGCACCTTTAGACTTTCCATGCCTAGCCTCAGCTGGGCTGATCTGTTTAGGCTATTTGATCAAGCAGTTTCTAAAAGGACTGGAACAGAAGAAGGAGGAATACCTGGCATTCATCTGGGCTGGACAGGGATGGTGTGTTTTGAAGAAGTGTGTGACTGTTCCTTTCAAAACCGCTCACCATTTCCAAGCACAGGGCACAGTAAGGGCTTTGAAAAACAGCAGGCACATATAGGAAGTGTCACTTCTTTATGCAGAAGATTAAAGCATCCACTCAAAACTAGTCAAAACTGTTCAATCATGGTTTCCAATGCATCCTTTTGTTTATCATTTGAAAAAGGTTTCCTCTGATTTCTTTCCCTTAACCAGAGGGCCTGCAGAAGCAAGAGAAACTTAATGAGCTGCTCTAACTGTGGAAGAAGGAATAGTTAAAGTGATCTGAATCAGTTGTTCTTCTTTAGAAGTGTATCACAGCTTCCATGATGTTCTGACAAGATCTTTTTTGTGCAATCAGTCTTAAATATTTTCACAGAAGTGATCATTCAGTCATGAAAAATAATGTAACATCTGTCGCAGTTTTCAGTTTAAAGCGTAGCTTACAAAGTAAAAAGGGGAAAATCTCCCCACTTTTCATTTAAAAAAATTAAATTAAAATGTACAGGACCAAACACAGGCACTTTCCAAAGAACAAAAATGAAACCAAACCATGAATTATTCGATAGTAATAGATGACAGCTCCGGTTTGGGAGGGTCACCCGCGGCTGCCTCAGCAGTGGTGTTAGTCTTTGGCTGCTCTGGCACATCTTCTTCCTTCTCTGCCAACCCACCCAGAGACCCCAAGGGGAAAGTGCTTTCACAATTCTGAGTAGATGACACCTGTGAAATGACAGGCATTTGGACAGAAGAGTTGCTTTCAAAGCCATGCTCCCCTAGCTCATACTGCCCGAGGGTCTCCTCTTGTTCCTGGTTTAAGTAGTCCGGTACTAGGAAGTCACTGGAAGAGGGGTAAAGGACAGAAGAGAAATGTCATTTCTCATACCATGGTATCAGCTCCATCACACAAACTACATTGACAGAGAACAAATGTACTCATTTCACATTGGCCAAGACCATGGCACTGACATACTCCACTAAGCACCATAACCTGGTTCTCATTTCCACACACACAGAATTTATTCAGTGGCATCTATTTCACATCCGTATTTCCTACACAGCAACTTCTTATGATTAGATTGTATCACCTTGATGAGAATGAAAGTTAATGTCTGGAACACATTTGGCACTGAAAACCTCATTGAAAAAAAGGGAGCACTCAGGCTTTAAAAATAGAAACAAAAATGAGTTCAGCACTGGCAAAATGTGGCCCTTTCCATGTCTGAGGAACAGCATCCCCCAGAGCAGCAGCAGGACTTCCCTCTGAGTGGGCAGGGTAGAACCAGGGGCACAGGTGAGGCAGCTGAAGGCAGAGGGAGCTGCCAGCTGCAGTGGGGGGGTGATCCTGACATGTATCACACTCCTGAGAAAAGTATGGAATTGCATTTCCTTCCCCTTTTAATCCTTCCTGGACAACTCTTGTGCTATGCACTCTTAACAGCTGAGGCCTGAGTGGATCCAAAGAAAACCTACCAAAAGCTCCAGTTGTACTTTCAGAGCACGAGGACATAATGGAAATAAATTTCTTTGCAAGTTTTCAGCACCAGACATGAAGTTTGTCTCGAGACAAGTATATACATGTACCATATATATGCACATTTGTATGCTTTGGTTCACCTGGCAATGCCTCAGTCAAAAGAAATCCTTAAATGACAGAAGCATACACTGCTCCAACCCAAGCTCACAGGCAGCTCTGCTAAACCTCATGTTTGTCAAATCAGACTGAAGGAAGGGCTACAGGCAACTAAAATCACACCCTTTAATATGACTTTAATTTGCTGACAACAATGCAGTGCTTACCACAACCAGGGCATCACCCTGCAGACTGTTTGCTCCAGTTTTGGCACAAGAGCCAAGAACAAGAACTGTGTAAGCCCACAGATATGAAGCACTTGTACTTTTAAACAATATTCTGCTGAAACAACAGCAACTGGCTTTCCTGCTTTGTTTTTCAATCTTTTTCGTCCTACGTCACTTCTGAGTTAATCAAATAGAACAAAATACTCAAATGTTTTTTATGGGAAGAAGAATAATGTCTGGAAATCAGGAGGGGTGGGATTGTGATGCTGTAACATTCAGAACATTGCATTTTTTGCATTGCTGAAGGCAGATGATTACACACACCAAGCTGCACTCTCTCTAAGATTTAAGAGCTGGAAGATCTTCCTGTCTTCAATTTCTCTCATCCAACTTTTATATTTTCTCAAATTCCAACAATTACTTTTATATCAATGAGAGAACACAGTGCTCGTCTGACACCTCAGAACTCTTTTAATAGTCTTTAGCAGTGCATTTGTGAGATATGCCAAGTCTTTTGTGGCCTGATAAAAAATGTCCAAGTGGCCCTCACTATTTCCAAAACTATGAGTCTAATCATTTAGTAATGTTATCTAGAAAATGAGAAAGGAGAAGGTCTGGAGTCATGCAATCTTTCCACAGTGTTAAGCAACCACTTAAAATGAAGTAGGAAGTCTGTGCCCTATGAAAGTGAACAGACTATGTACAAGATTTTGAAAAGCAAATCAATATCAAATCACAGATACTGTAGGACAGAACACTGTGGCTTCACACCATTGGCCTGGCCATAGGTACTACTGAAAAGAGAAATTAAGTAACCCAGAACCAGCCTCTGCATATCACTGGATTCTTCAGTAGCCTCCTATATAGCTCCCATGCTGTAAGACAGATCAGATACAACAGAGAGTGGAGCAGGAATCAATCTGACTGCAATTAGCTGGCAACCTGATGAGAGGCACAGCAGGCTGCCCTGAAAGCAGGAAATGATCATCTAAGGATAAAAAAAAAAAGAAAAAAAAGAGAAAAAAAAAAGAAAAAAAAGCAAGTTTCCCTGTTAGGTTTTTGCTGTGCACCTCACCTGCTCTGGAAGTAGTTTGCTAGCTCTGACGCTTCATGGTTCAAGCTCCTCAGGTGAACGATTAAATTTCCAGAGTTGGTGAACATGGCGCCGCATGTTTTGCACTCGTAAATCCGAGGCTTGCGGATAATGTGCCGGGAAACCCGCATGTGGTGTTTATATTCCCCGAAGGAAGTGAAAGTGGCACTACATATCTGGCACCGGAAACAGCGTTTACCTTCGTGCTTCAGGCGATGCATCTTGAGCGAGTAAGCTCGGGTGAACTTTTTCCCACAGCGGTCACACTGAAAGGGTTTAATGCCTGTGGGAGAGAGCACAAACACGTTCACCTGTGGGGCACAGGGCACAATCCTCCCCACAGACTGCAGCTCTAGGTGCTCACAGCAAAGCTCTGCTTGAAAAAGAGATTTGCTGTTAACTTTAAAAAGGGAGAAACAATTAGAGCAGAGCTGCGCTCCCTCAGGACAACCTCCAGGAAATCTCAGGTGTAAGAGCTGAAATGAGGGATGCAGGACTCCAGGGGCTCTCCAAAATGCAGTTTATTATATCCAAGATGCGGTTTATTATATCCAAAATGCAGTTTATTATATCCAAGATGCAGTTTATTGTATCCAAGATGCAGTTTATTGTATACAAAATGCAGTTTATTGTATACAAAATCCAGTTTATGCCATCCAGGACGTTACAGCAGCCCAGGGTGGTGGGTGACAGAGCTGTGCCTACAGCTGTGAGCTCCAGCTGCAGGCAGGCCTGGAGACCAGCATCCCTCATTCAGGCTCTTACTAATGGTGCCTGACGTTGGGTGCCACTGTAAGAGCTGAAATGAGAGATGTGGGACTCCGGGGGCTCTCCAAAATGCAGTGTATTGTACCAAAATCCAGTTTATTGTATCCAAAATGCAGTTTATTGTATCCAAGGTGTTACAGCAGTCCAGGGTGTGGGTGACAGAGCTGTGCTACAGCTGTCAGCTCCAGCTGCAGGCAGGCCTGGAGCCCTTTGGTTTTGGTTTCATTGCATTATATCCTTTTCTTTTGGTTACATTGCATTCTATACTTTTCTTTTGGTTACATTGCATTCTATACTTTTCTTTGCTGAGCATCTTAATACAGTAGAACCAATCTATACCTTAACTATTATCTATAGCCTATCCTAACTACTGTAATTAGCATATTCATGGTACTGTTCTCCAATCATTCAAAGTCAGTACATTACAGTTTAAGCTAGAAGTTGTTTTTTCAGTTTTCTTGCAGTGGAAAATTCTGAGACCTTTTTTCTACTTGCAACATTTGCTGACTTGTTTGCCTGTGCTATTTTTCTGTTTGGTACAAACATCTTCTTGTTTGGGGTGGGTTTATCCTTTGCTCTAAGCCATAAAAACCCCTTCTAACTCACACACCCTTTGCCTCCTTGGTTATCCAGTGAGACTGGCTCAGCAATTCTTTTCTTCTATACCAAAACTTGCTTCCATCTCTATTCCTTCTTCAAACTCTACATTTAAAAATCTTTCTGCCAAGCGCACATATCTGTGAGACTTTCTTGTCAAACTTTCATCCTTCCCAGCACTCATGGCTGTGACCTGTCCCAAGGCTCCTTCCCCATGGTTTAAACAATTTCAAGCCCCTGTGGATTCAAGATCCCCAGGTGTGGGAATTTATAAAATCAGAGACTTTTGGGAAAGCTGCAGAAGGCAGGCTTCAGAGACAGCAGAACTGTGATTAGAGCTGATAGCATCTTCCCATTGTCATAACCATGTCATGAGACTGATGCTAAAAAATAAAACAGCTCAGAGCACGTTCCTCAACACTCCTGTCCCATTTGTGATTTCTACAGAGCCCCTGACCAGCAACACCCAGGCACAGGCACAAGGCCCTGATGCTGCAGCCATCTCCTGTGCCTTTGAACTCCTTTGATCTCGGCACATTCTTGTGCCAGACTGGTTCCCAACAATGCAATTATCAGCCTACCCTTAATTGCAATGTTTTTTTCTGGCTGCCTTTGGCCTCAGAGAAGTGTTCTGGCAAGGGGACTGTGCACAGGGACGCCCCTGTAATGCAGCAGGAATGGTGATAAAAGGGGCAGTAGGAGCCTTTATATTGCGTGGGAACCTTGCTGCACAAGAATTTTCGGCAGCTTTGCATGACAGACAGCTCCCTAAGACAGCTGAGCTTCATGCCTCTCATTTTTTTCTTGTATTAATTTAGAATTTTTTTCTTGTATTAATTCTAGAAATTCAGCTCCTAGTTAATTTTTCATTTCTTACCCTAAAACATGCGAGCTCTGCAATATGTTGCAGTGGCTGAGTGTGTAATCATACAAACAGAACTATTACAAGATAAAAGTCTGAGTCACCAAAACCTTAGGATTTAATCAAAAGTGTGAACTGCAGAAAGTGGGAAAATCCAAACACGAGGTTAAGAATCTGGAATATGGAGCTCTATTCATAATAGGGCTGTCAAGGAATAAAAAAGATTTTCTCAAAAGGCTGAATGTGCATCAGCCCTGGCTGTTAATTCCCCCAGTCTTTCACTCTGCTTCTCTTACTTTCAAAGCAGGAGGTGAACTTTTAATTGAGGGCTTTTAGACAGAGAAAGCTGTAGTTAAGGTTACACTGAAATGCCCTGTTAAGCATGTGAAAACAAGTTAATAAACTGGAATATGGTCTGGTGGAGCTCAAACTTTTCATGCTTTCCTACTGTCCAAGGGCACCCATTTCCTCTGGTAGTTTGAGGGAAATCTCTTTAGCCATTTTACTCACATGAAAACACTTTCAACATTTACAAGCTTTGAGAGTTCTTTTGCATGTTAATTATTCTAAACCAGCTATTCAAAGCTCTCCCAACTTTACCCAGGGGTTGTCAGTTGACAGGCAGACCAGAGATGCTTTGCTGTCAGATTTTAACAACAGGCTTGGGATCATTTTGCACCCACAGAATTTGCTTTTTCAAGTATTAAACACATATCTGGCTATTTTGCTTGAAAGGATTTGACAAATAATTGTTGACAGGGAAAAATTCCACCTTGTCAGTTGTGGCTGCTCTGTCCCAGAATGGTTCAGCTTCTGTGTGCAGGCAAGAGTCAGACTCAAACCAGGAGATGCTAAACCATGAGACTTAGTGGCCAAGTGCAATAACCTTTCAATATTCCCTTTATTCCCCCAAATGTCAATGTTATTGCCACATAATGCTGACAAGTCTTGAAAACACCAATAGCAAAGACATTGGGGAGTTCATGCTTGGTTAGAAATCAAAATGAATTTGGGGACCCAGGCCCAGAGGAGGCATTCCCAAAAACCTTTGGCTGCCTGTGCTACCTGCAGGAGCTAAATTGATAATGAAACCAATTCAGTTGTCCTGCAATCCTTCCAAAAAGTCTGAGATGCAAAGGCATACAACCTCCTTCAATGCAAGGACACAGATAATATTTTCTTATGGCTGCAAGTCTCCTCTGAAACACAGCAGAGAATTGCAATATGGCAGAGGAAGAATTTCAATCTACTTCTTTAGTGCAATAAAAGGGCCAAGTATACTTTATTTCATCTCAGATATTTTTCAGGAAAATTACTTATCCTGATGAGTTGCAGGCAATCAGGTTTTTTTCAGTCCACACAAATGCTGATTATCCACGAGCACAACTATCAGTCAGACTGCAGGGATCACAACAAGCATTCAACACAACCTCTACCCAATCTTTCTGAAATCAACTCTGAAGCACTTGGCAGGTGAGTGGAAAAGCTGCATTATTACAAGGCTGTGAGTCAGGAACTGGGGGAGCAGGGCTGTTTCTCACCTGAGTGGATGAGCATGTGTTGTTTCAGGTTCTGGATGCGGGTGAAGCGCACCCCACACGTGGGACACTGGAAGGGTCTGTCGGGACCGTTGGGGCTGGGCCTCTCTGTGCTGCTGGTGGAAGGAGCAATGTAGAGTTGGTAGGGATACTGAACGTTCTCCAGACTACAAAGAAAAAAGGCACTTATTTACAAAAGCAGCCAAGAAGCCTCCTCTGCAAAAATCTGAACCTTGAAGGCTTTTGTGTGAGAAGGAAGAGATTGGCACGTCACAGTTCTGCTGAAATCTCATTTATTCTGGGAATCTCTGGGTCTGTAGCAATGTGTCCGATCTGCACCTGAAATCTTACAGTCACTGACTCTGCACATCAGAGCACACCCAGGGAATAAGCTCAGAATTCTGTTTCTTTGGGTCTGAGCACAACTGCAAACTGAACTGAATGTTATTTTCCAGGCGTGAGCGTTTTCTCCAGCACATCGATGACTTGCAATCACTGAACAGTCCCTGAGGAAGAGTTTATAGAGCTGAGCAAATGAAAAGCAAAGGATTATTTTGCAGCTTCAGTGATATTTACAAATGAAATTAAAGCCAATTAATTTTTCATCTCAATCCAAGCTCCATCAACAAATACTAGCATCTACAACTGCGTATTTCTAAGTTTAAAATATTAATCTAATGAAGCAATACTTGCTCCTTGTCTGATTCAAAGAGCTCCAGTGCTGTGTTTAAAGAACAGCACATGAACTGCAATGAGGAACAATTTAACTTTCAAAGTAATTTATTTAAAACTGACTAATTGCTCCTCCATAGCCTCCAGCTGCAAACTGTTTAAGGGAACTACAGTGCTCTAATCCAAGTCCTCCTGCAAGGAACTTGCTAAAGGGCACAGTGAAACAGGAACAAATCTGCTGGTACAAACAGGGTTTGTACCTACCTGGGGGTTCCCTTCCCTGAGCACTAAGGTCTGTATTTTTGGTGAAATTGCCATTTCAGCTGCTGCCAGCCTGCTGAAAGATCAGCCATCACTGGCAGCAGGGAACTGCTCTAACTCTGTTCATTCCATGGCCAGCACACTGCAACTTCAGCTTTACTAAACTGAAACGTCTGAAATGCCCTGAGAAAAGATGCAATGGTGTCTCCTCACAGTCAGAAAGTTTTCCTAACTGAGGAAATCCTTCTGCTGCTCTGCTTCCCCCTCAGGCCCAGTGGGCTGCCTTCAGGGTTCTGCTGGATTTGGGGGTTTCTAACACTCACAGAAATGAAAGATGCACTTGGCACAAATCCATTTTCCTAGGCATCATACAAAAATTCACAAAGCAGTTCAGCACAGGAGGGCAAGAACTAGGATCATCTCTTTAAAATCAACACTTAAACTGTCTTTATTCTGGAAAAGGATGGTACTGCAACTGTGAGGACAGGGCATATCTCAATTCTGAGCACAGAATTCTGAGCAGCCAAAGTTCCAGTTGTAAAATTTATCTGCAGAGAGAGCACCAGGTATCTCTTGATACACACAAGATTCAAGGGTTTCCTGTAGAGTTTAGTATCACTCAGTCTGTAAAACCCTAAGGATTTCTGACCTCACATGGCACTGGAAGAAGATTTGCACTAAAGAAGAAATTTTCTTGTCCTTGACTTTTTATACACAGTAGGGTCCCAGAGCTGAGGAAAACAAGAGATGTGACAGACTTGTTGATCTGTGATAAAGGGAATATTTGCAGGAGCAAAGTCACGAGCTCTGTCCTGGGCCTGGCAGAATGGAGCTCTTTGCCATTCTGGGGTCTAAAAAACATCAACTGAGGCTTTTTGAAATAAGTGAGAGCATTTTAAACACAGGTTCTGATTTTTCTAACCAAATTCCTGACCAAGCCTGGCACTCCACTTCCTTTTTTATACATGTAGCGTGCTCATATAAGAATAACATTTGGGTTTTGTGACAACAAAGAATTTCATCTTCTGACGAGTTCCTTAGGTGCTGCCTCCCTCCCTGCTGTGTTGGGGACTGTGAGGAGGCACAGGCACGTTGTGCTGCTGGAGCTTTCTCAGGAGACACCCAAAGTAGGGCAGCAGAGCTCTCCTTTTGTTCCCAGCTCAGGAGCCAGAGCTCTCCTTTTGTTCCCAGCTCTCCTGGGCTCACTCACCCTCCAAGCCTGTGCTGGTGCCACCTCCTCCACTGGAGAAGTGCTATGGGCACAACTCCATAGAAGAAATTGAAATGAAAGCCTGGGTTTGATGTCATCTGTCTTTCATGGTGAGGAGGGCTGATTAAAGCAGATCCAGTGGGAACCAGAGGCTCCCCAGCTATCAGTGCCTGGCTTGTCTTTTCCCATGCTCACACTGCCAGCAGGGTGAAATGCCTACTTGGTGACATAACTCAGCACCATGAAGAGATTATATTTGAAACATTATTAGATTTTTCTCCCCTGCTTCCTTTTCCCCCACATTTACCTAATTTTTCAAGACTTGCAATTTGTGATCAAGATTTGTGATCAATTTGTGGCATTTAACAGCTGAGATTTGTCTGACATCTCCAAGAGCTTCTATACCAGCTACATAGAGAGAGAGGTTTCAAATGTTGTCACTGAAATATCCTACTTGCACTTTTTCTTCTTTTCACCCTGAGATTATTTACATATTTAACTATGCAGAACTAAACTCTGACAAACATGAATGTCAAAATGCCAGTGAACCTGGAAATGTTCATTATTTGTAAATAACTATTATTTTAGAGAAGTGGAGGCTCTCATTCTATTGGATCAGAAACACCTTTAATAACTTTTATAACTGAGCAACTCCTTTTTAAGTGTAGCCACAAACTGATACAGAGACCAATTGTTAAAGCAGGCAAGATTAGAAGTGTGTAACAATCCAAATGTGAAATACCAGAGAAAGAATAGATGAGACTTCACTGGAGCAGTCATTTTAATACTTAACAGACTCCTGTGTGCCTATTAAGCTGACAACAATTACATGTGACCTACTGTTTATGAAACACTGATTATGCAGGAGGCCAAATTAATGATGTTAATTATTTAAGACAGAAACTCAAGAGAGAAGACATCTTAGTTTTTGAAATGTTTATGATTCTTCCACAGTGACACAGATATAGTATTGAGAGGCCTTTAGAGGGACTGGTCTTTTGCTTTGTTTCAGAAATAGAAATGTAATATATTACATTTATTAATGTAATAAATGCTTATTACAATATACATTTTTTAATATTAATTTGCACTGGGCACACACAACTGATTTTGAAATTTTGAGAATTCCTAGTGGTAAAGAAATGTACAATATGGAGTTAAGGGTGCATGAAACATTCAAACAGTTTGGGAAGGGAATTTTCTCCATCTGTACAAGGTATTGATTGTTTTTTTCTGATTCAGCTAGAGAAACATGTTTTACTTTATTCAGAATTCTTATGCACCCAAAACTGTGTGCCCAAATTGCTGCACAGGGAACAACAATCCATATTTATTGGCTGCTGTGTCCATCCCATGCTTGAAATGGGAATTTAAGTCATGCTTGAAGGGCTGTCCCAGTGTATTTGAAAGCACTGACAAGACAAACACAAACCCCTGAAAGGAAACTGCTCAGGTCTTGGAAGCACCATTTTAAACATTCAGCTGGTTCTTGGAATCAGAACATTCTTGACACTTTCATTTGAATTTATAAAATAAATCACCTGGTAGTTCTGGAGTCTGAAATCCCCATGACTCTCAGTTCACTTGTAGCTATTGAAACCAGCTATTGCAAATTCAAGTTCATTTTCCTGATACTTCTGTCACTCTGAGACTAATTATTTTCAAACTGGAGCATAAACTAAGGTAAATATTCTTTCCTTCTCTGCATGTAGGAGATCTTTTAGTGGGAATTTTCAGTGTGTTTAAAGAATTTTTTATCTTTTGAATTTTCTACCCAATTTGTGCTGAAGCTCTGCAGTTTTATAGGAAATTTCTGAAATAATCCACTGCTGAAAATATGTGTGCCACTTGACTTCAGAATTACAGGTTTCAAAGCCTGGATTAGTTCAAGTGCAACATGTGCTCCTACTATTAATTCAACCCTTAAGTGCTGGGTGTTATTTTTATACTCAGGTTTGTTAGCAGATAGATAAAATCTTCCATGTCACCCAAAAAGTCTTATCTAAGCAGTTCTTTGCCCTTTTTAAGGGAAGTGGGACAGATTTGAGATGGAAAGATTTTATGAGCTATGAAAATGCAGCTTTTGGTTATTATCCCTATAGGGAGCTTCTCTTGACACAATTTCTGCAACAACTTCCAAAGGTTCACACTTCTCCCTCAGACCCACTTGTCTTCAAACCCCAGTTTGGAAAAATGTGCTGAGAGAAGGGAGAGCTCAGAACTGGAAGTCAGAGGAGCTGAGAGCAGCCCTGTGTGCCATGGTGGGTACCTCCCTTGGCTCTAACAGAACCATGATGTCTCTTTGACCAAACAGACCCAGCTCAGTTTGGTTTTCTCTGCCAACCTTCCCTTATAAGGGATTCCCTTCATAAATCACTCAGCTCAGCACAGCAAAAGCCTGCTAAATATTTACAGCAAGTGCCACACAGCATCTTGGTAAGAACTACAGGCAGAAAGTTTGGGGGAAGAGATTTAAGGCTGCTCTGCCTCTCCTGTGGCTTGCACTAGTGTGGTTTGTTGAAGTCAGGGCTAGGCCTTGTTTTCAGTTGGTTGCTTTAGTATGCATGTTTCACATAGAGGTTTAATTCAAATTTATTGATATAGAGCAATGATGAAGAAACAGCAAGAACAGGACTATCTTTCTTCACCAGTGCTGCCTGGATATAAACAGGAAACAAAAAGCAATGAGTAAGCAGATTGTGACTTTCATCACCTACATTCTTCTAAAGCATCTGCCCCTCCAGGCACTGATTGTACTTTGATCAACACCCAGAACTTGATGTAGGAACAGCTAAACATTGTGGGATTAAGGCTGGGGAGGTAAATTACAGCAGCCACTTGGAGCAGCACACTTTGCACCCCGGGTTGGTACATACCGATCATCATCGTCCGCGTGAGCGTTGGTGCCAGACGTGCTCTGGAGTGTGGGCAGCCCCTCTGTAACCCCCTCATCTATTGAGCCTAGGCAAAGAAAAAAGGGCAGTTTAATGCAAAGAACTGTTCAAAAAGGGTTGGGGAGCAGGTAAATACACATCAAGCTTGCTTTCCCAAATCTCTGATAGACACTGATAGCTGGGTGATAAGATAATAAAAGTGCCTTGGGAAAGTCATTTACAACACCCAGAAGCAACTTGTTCCAAAGCAGCTTCTCTCTGCACAGATTACCCAGTAAATTGACAATTCAATAAGGGCACATATTTGGTCCACCTAGAAAATGGAAATGTTAAATACAGCCAGTTTTCAAATCACATCCAGTACTAGCACTGAAAAGTAGGAATGTTACATTCACCTAAAGGGACTATTTTGTCAATTTTTCAGGACTTCCTGAGCAATAAGGAGTTCAAACCTGCCACACTAAATGACTTTTGTGGTCCAAATCTTCCATAAATATATTAACTGATAATGTCTTCATTTATTGATAAGCAGCTGAGACAGGAAGAGCCCTCTGGGAAATCAGAAATACAACACAAAAAAGACAAAACAGCTGTTTGTTAGAGAAATGTACAAACAAAACCACTCCAGAGCTCTGCTCAGTTCACCAGCACTGGGGCAAATGTAGCTCAAGGGGCTTGGGGAACAGAATCCAAGGAAATGCAGCACTAAAGCAAATCCACACCTTCATTACTGATGGGGCTGCTGCTCATCTGTCACCAGCACCAGTTTGGTCAAGCAGCCCTGGATGGCCCCACTGAATCCATAGGATATGAGGTGGGGAAGGAGATTTCCCTCCCTGCACCTCCACCTTGAGGACAAGCAAAGTGCAGGACAGTGCAATGAGCTGCTCTTGCTGCTGGGGTGAAATAATTCTGCTTTATCAGAGAGGAGCAACCTGGATTTGGGGACCCTAAAGCTCACCAGGAAAATCAAGCAGAATTAGGTGTACACTGGCAAATGTCAGAGAAATGCAGCACTAAAGCAAACCCACACTTTCATTACTGATGGGGCTGCTGCTCATCTGTCATCAGCAGCAGAGTTTGGTCAAGCAGCCCTGGATGGCCCCACTGAATCCATAGGATATGAGGACAGGAGAGGAAGGAGATTTCCCTCCCTGCACTTCCACCTTGAGGACAAGCAAAGTGCAGGACAGTGCTATGAGCTGCTCTTGCTGCTGGGGTGAAATAATTCTGCTTTATCAGAGAGGGGTACAGGAGCAACCTGAATTTGGGGACCCTAAAGCTCACCAGGAAAATCAAGTAGAATTAGGTATATGCTGGCAAGTGTCAGAGAAAATGGAAAACCAAAGGGAAGGAGCAAAGATGGGAAAGGTGAAGCAGAAAATGTGCATATTCTGTCAAAAAGAATGAGAGATTCTTGTCTTAATGTGATGCCATGTTATGGGGCCAGTGACAAGAGGAAAATTGCATCTCTGGCAGCTTCACAATTAGTAAAATAAAAATTGTTGATTTTGTTAAGAGGTGACAAACTATACTTGGGAAATTCATCAGCTAAGCAATCTAGAAAGCACAAAAGTGAATCCCACTTTGATTTATCCTTCTTTCTCATGAAATACTTCAGTGACAGTCCACTGAAAAATAAGCCCAACTGCTCTTAGGTTTCATTTCATGCCTTCACCTCTCAAATGCCAAAAGTGCTAATGAGTTATGAGAGTATCTTCTCACACACAGCTGTTTTGTAACCATAATGATTTATTTACCAAGTCCCTGCTCCACGTCTCCTTCCAAATTATAAAGTGCTTCCAAATATAATAAATTGCAAATGAACAATTCTTAAATTTCCCAAAGAGTGAATAAGAGCTTTTTGCAATATCAGAGAGAGGCAAGAATGCTTTTGTAAATGCACTATAAAACACTGAGATAAATATATGCAGTTATATGTGGAAAATATGTTCAGGGGAGAAAAAGCTGTACTTTAACATATTTTGCTGCCTCCATTTACTATTCTTACATTACTGCATAAAGTAATGCATTTTGGGGAGGTAAAAAGTGCTTTCTAGCTACAAAGTGTGCAGTATCATAACTGGGCTAAAAAGCAAGAACACTGTTTCCCTTTATAGCAAAACATGAATAAAAACCATTCTGAGGATGGTTATTATGCCAAAACCACTCAATATTAATTCAAACATATTCAAAGACAAAGAGCAGATTTGTACTTTAAAGATTTTGCCCTGGCACATTTTTCTTCTCTCTGCAGCTGTTTTAAGGCAGGACATGCTGTACTAACAGCAAAGACAGATATTTAAGTTTAAAAATTATAATCCCTAAAGCCTGAGATTCTCTAACCCATGCACACAAAATTACTCATCTGGGGCCTGGAGTTTACACCCAGTTTGTTCTTTAAGCTGCCTTGGTGTGATATTCATTTATATATTTATGATATATATCACTTGATATGCTATTTTTAACATTCTCTAATCATTACTGCTTCTTGTTCTATTTTGTCTGTGATGATATAATTACTTTGATGAAATAATTGGCATCTCTTATCACATGGCCCTGACAAAGTCTTTCCCTTCTGACTGCAATGAGTTAAAACTGAATCAAACAAAATCTGCTTTTGAACAAGGACCTCTTTTCCTGGTGACTCCCCAGCAAACAAAAAGTTTCTTTTAGTTTTTAATTTGTGCAATATTTTGCCAAACTTTTAAAGATTTAAACTAGAGGACATGAAGTCTGTTCCTCAGCAAAGGTAAACATCCTTGTCTCCAATAAAGAAAACATTTTCATTTGGAAAAAGCATTACAATCTAAAATATCACCATGTGAGCTATACAAACTGGAGAACAATCCAACAGCACAGGATGGCATAGATGGGACAGATTTCATTTCTTTTTATGAATAGTTTGGCACTGAATGTGTGTTGCAGTTCTGGAGGGGCAGCCTGATCTCACTTTCTGCAGGGATGTTGCAGTGTTGCACTGACCAAAGCAAACAAACAATGCAGACTACAAGGCCACAATTCTTTACTGTGCTGTAGTTTATTTAATTCCTTAATGGGGGCAGCCTTTCACTTACACATTATTTGAATGAAGCAGAGCAGTGCATCTGCCATTCTTCCAGTCTTCAAACAGAACAGGAGTTATTAAAAATCTTTCAGTAAACAAACTCTGCTGAGCACAGCTCAAGCCACTTGAGAGTAAAACAGCTGACTTGGGCAAAATTTTGATAATTAAATTAGAAATATTGCAAAAGCTCTATCTTCTGATTTACTAAAAGCCATTCAATGCATTCTGTGCAGAGGAAAAAAGGGATTGTTCCAGTAACCTTTAAGTATTAGCTCTTAATAAAGAACAGCCTGCTATAAGATCCCAAAACTGGTTTCAAATTGTCTTTCATGGAAAAAAGATTTCTCAGCAACCAGCAGCATTTGAAGAAGCAACTTGAGAATCAAATCCCACAGAAATGGAAAGATTCTCAATATTATGACTGTGTGGTTTTATTTTTGTCTGGGGCATTAAGATGACAGTGTTTCACCACTTATTTTGCAAATCCTCTTACAAAGGCTCTCTGTCACGATTATATGAGATTTGATGTCTGATGCAAAGCACTATTCTAACCCTTTGTGGCTGCAGGCACAGGCTTTTCAAATCTGATGCTGGAGCTCAGCTGAGATCATGCCTTTTGGCACTAATGAAAGCAGAATTAAGTTTCCCCAGTCAGGCAACTAAAGGTAAAAAGGAGTTATCAACCTCTGCTGAATAAAGAGGGTTACCACAGGCTCACCATTCTCAGCTGCCTTCTGCAAAGTTATTTAAAGAACTCCAAGTTTATGTGTAATATTTAAAAAATCAGGGGGGAAAAAGGGGAGTTTCACCAAAATAAAGTATGAACACCCATAAGGCAGATTTCCTCCAATGAAATCCCCAGTGCTCAGGTGGGATATGTAACTGCAGAAATAGTCATACCTGCAGATAAGGACTAAGGGTTGCCTTCTGCAAAGTTATTTAAAGAACTCCAAGTTTATGTGCAATATTTAAAAAATCAGGGGGAAAAAATGGTGTTTCACCAAAATAAAGTATGAAAACCCATAAGGCAGATTTGCTCCAATGAAATCCCCAGTGCTCAGGTGGGATGTGTACCTGCAGAAATGGCCATACCTATAGATGAAGACTGAGGGCTGCCTTCTGCAAAGTTATTTAAAGAACTCCAAGTTTATGTGCAATATTTCAAAAATCAGGGGGGAAAAAGGGGAGTTTCACAAAAGTAAAGCATGAACACCCACGAGGCAGATTTGCTCCAATGAAATCCCCAGTGCTCAGGTGCCAGGTGGGATGTGTACCTGCAGAAATGGCCATAGCTATAGATGAAGACTGAGGGCTGCCTTCTGCAAAGTTATTTAAAGAACTCCAAATTTATGTGCAATATTTAAAAAATCAGGGGGAAAAAATGGTGTTTCACCAAAAGAAAGTATGAACACCCATGAGGCAGATTTCCTCCAATGAAATCCCCAGTGCTCAGGTGGGATATTTAACTGTAGAAATGGCCATACCTGCAGATGAAGACTGAGGGCTGCCTTCTGCAAAGTTATTTAAAGAACTCCAAGTTTATGTGCAATATTTCAAAAATCAGGGAGAAAAAGGGCAGTTTCACCAAATTAAAGCATGAACACCCACAAGGCAGATTTGCTCCAATGAACTCCCCAGTGCTCAGGTGCCAGGTGGGATGTGTACCTGCAGAAATGGCCATACCTATAGATGAAGACTGAGGGCTGATCAGGAGATCCTCCTGCACTTGCTCACTCCCTGGGACCGTCTGCTGGTCGCTCAGGGAGCTCTGGGATGCGCTCACGGGCTGTGACACCTCCTCGTGAACCTCCTCGTCACTCAGCCTCTCCACCTTGACTCGCACGTCCTCCTCGATCACCAGGGGAGAGCTGCCCTTGGTGCTCTCACAAGTCACATAATCTGCCATCCTCCTGCTGGACTCCGAGGGCCCAGGCATTTCCAAAGTCCTAGAGTTCTCCGCCTGCTTGACCTTTTCTGACTGAAGTCTTCGATCAATTCCAAAAGGAAAAGTCCAGGGAAAAGCTAATGACGAGTCCACGGGCTGATTTCTGGACTCTGGGTAGGAAGTGGAAGGATTGAGCACTTGGGGGGAGCTGGTTTGTGTGTTACACTTGAGGGGGCTCTCAGGAGACATGACGATGTAGCTTTTGCGCTTCCTCCGAGACTCGCGGCAAACGGGGATGGTTCTTTCCACCACGCTGCACTCGGAGGACACCGGAGACAGGCTGCCGTCCCGGGAGGTGAAATTGCAGTTTGCACCGCTCTCCTGTCCTGCATCCAGCACCTTCTCCTGCTGGCTGTTGGGTGTGTTCCATAAAATGCTGGATTTCATGAATTCCGAGCAGGTGCTGGCCACGCTGAACATCTGCATGTAGCTGGCGGCGGCCAGCACGTCGATGATGTTCTCGGTGTTGATGGACAGCGTGGCCGTGTACGCGTACTCCAGCAGGGGGATGAAGCCCGTCACCGTCACGTGGTGCAGGTCCAACACGCTCTTGCTCTCATCCTCGGCTTGCCCAACGAGTTTGGAGCGGAAGAAGTCGCTGCAGGCTGCCAGAACCACCTTGTGTGCCCTGAAGATCTTGTCCTGGACGCGGATGGTGATGTCGCAGAAGTGGCCGTCGTTCCGGAGCATGTTCAGCTTCCCCAGCATCTCCTGACTGTGAGCAGGGGAGTTATGAGTGAATGTTTTAACACCCATTTTTAGATGGCTCTCTTAGCGTTCTTCCCACATATGACAGATCAAAGGTATCCTGAAATAAAGAGGAAAACTGTCATTTCCATCTCTGAAAGCAAAAGCCAAGTGCATTCCTGATGGTAAGACTCTGTACGAAGAAAATTCATCTGAATCCTCTAAGGCCAGGTTCCTCTAGGATCCAGACTGTGCAAGGGACTAACTCTACGGAAATGCAATTACTTGTAATTTTCATAATCACAGATTAAATTATTTGCAATCTGTCCCTACCATCTTCCATACATCTATGTATCTATAGCTCCCTATACCTATAGGGGTATCTCTCCCTCTCTCTCTCCACATTCCTGCTATGCCTCCTCAAACCCAAATTCCCAACACAGTTCAAAAAAATGTTTGTAATACCAAAACCAAAGCACTTGAAAAACTGTGTAGAAACCTGTATTTTTATTTTCTGGGCCCAGAAAACCATTGTTCATAGTTGTTAAACTGACAGACTACTGAAGGTTTCTTTTAAACAGAAAAGTCAGGCTGAGTCAACAACAAGGGTGCAGGAGTAAGCAAATCTCCCAGGGAAGGTATTTAATACCAGAAAAGCTTCAGAGAAACTACAGCATGAATTTTCAGAGGCCAGAGTTCAAACTAGTAAACATAAAACAACAGTGCCAATAGGTCTGATTTCCTGCTGTAGTGCAGGTATTGATTACCTAAAGCTGCTTTTAATAGTTTTAAACTAGGATCAGAAGTTATTGAAAATTCCTTCACAAACACAATGCAATATAAACCTCAAAGGAAAGTTTAAGTTTAAATCAAATAGACATAAACTGATTTTATGTATGTGATAAATAAAACAAGGAGGGCAACTTCTTTCTCCTGAAAAACACAAACCTGCCTTCTTGGGGAGCAGTTCTCTCCATGTGGGAGCAAATGCATGTGTTTTGTGCAAGGTCCTGATGAGAATGGGGTGTTTGACCCCTGGATTTCCCCAAAAATGTCAGAAACATTGCACTGTGAAGGGAAGATAAACCACAGAGTTTCACCTGCCTGAGCCCCTTCCAAGCTTGCATGGAAGCTCTCTGTGTTGCACATGCCTCATACAATTAACACCAGACACAATTATCTCACTGGTTAAACATCAACAGCATTATTGTGTTTGATTCATTCCTGCAGTCAGCCAGCTTCTGCACATCATCCTTCTTTCCCTTCCACATAAAAAAAACCAAAAACATTCCATGCTTGCAAATGGCTCACGTGGAGCTTCACAGAGCAACTGCAAGTGTGGAACAACTTACCCCAAATGTGCCACATGGAAACAGCAGCTGTCACAGCCCACCTGGTTCTACAGACATTGACATTTGGCTGCTTCTTGTTCCTGGGTTTTCACTTTTGATACTCAAAGCCCTGCAGACAGAGGAACCCTAACTGTTCAAGAGAACAGATTAACTAACACCTGATAATATATATATATAAAGTCTGGTGGAAACTCTAAGGGCCGTTTGGGTTTAAAATGAAATTTCACACTGGCGCAGAGGAAGAAGTTAAGCACAAGCAAAACATTCCCTTCACTGAAAAAAAACAGATTGACCTCAAGAGGCATCTGAATATCCAGACTCTTTGTTCTCCAGCATGAATCAAATGAAAAACATGTTTCATTGATCTCAGACCAACACACTACAGCAAAATCTTGTAACAGCATATTTAGAAATGGCCCTTGGATCCCCTTCCTTCTGCAATGCTGGTTGCTGCAGCTGTTCCTTGGCACATCAGAAGTTCACAAGCACTTCTGTTCAGCAGAAGTACAAGGACAACACATTCACAAGGACTAGCCATGGAATAGTTTGGTATTTAGAAGTAGTAGCAGTACATCATTATAAACAAGGAGAAAGATCTCAGAGCAATCCTCCCAGTTCCTACAGGCCCAAAAGACAAAGCCCTTTTCTCTCTGTTCTTCTGAACAAGGAATGCTCAGCCCCCCAGCCCCAAAGTGAGAGCTCAATTCTGCTGCCCTGCTCTAAACCATTCCTTGTCCTGCTGCCCCTCCCCTCTTCTGGCTTCCTTTCCCCTTCTCCTTTCATCTTTTTGCTTCCTTGACCTTGATCTGGTTACAGAATTTAAAATAAAATAGCGGAAGTCAGTGATGTGCAATAAATTGATTTAAATTTATTACAGGAGCAGTGTTCCTGCCACGGATGTGGGATATTGCTCTGTTAAATCACTTCTGTAAAATGACTTTCACCCTCACTGCACTGACACCTCCATTCAAACAAGTGGCTCCCACCCAGGCCTCAGTGTGAACAAGGAGCATGCACAAATGCTATTTTCAGAAAAATCCAAAGGGCCAGGCTGAGGAGGGGGAAAAATATCAGCTCCTTACAGTTAATGATGTAGTAAAAACATCAAATATTTTTAGCAGGTAATTTAAACAGTATGAAAGCATTTTCCACATGAAAAGATGAGCGTGCTAAAGCACAGCCAGGTTATCCAATGGTTCAACCTCTTTCCAGTCTCTCAGTGGCACAAAGCACTTTTATAGCTGCACTCAATTCACAGTGACCTGAGAGGGTAAAGGGCTGCAACATTACAGCTTCAGCCCAAGTCCATCACCTGTGTATTATCATCATTTCAAAACAGCACTTTGGCAGGTCTTAGTTCCCAGCCTGAGTCCCTGACAGCAGCTCTTGGATGCCACATCCAAGAACTGAATCTACCCACACCCTTGGGAGTGCTGGGGTGGGGACAGCAAGGTGCACACCTCAACTAAGTGCTAAGTGGGCTGGAGCTGGAAAAGCTGTTAATTTTGGAGCCACAAACCATCCTCTAGGCAGGGACCAGGGATGGTATCGCAGAGAGTGGGGCTCCTCCTCCCATTCCCCAGGCACACACTCACACCCTGGCCCACAACACATTTCAAACCTCCAGAGAAACACACTGAAATCCAAGGCACTTTCACAGGTTTTAAAAATATACACAGTGGGACACTTCAGTCCATATTTAACTTTGACACAGGCATTTACAGTTGGAGAGAATGGTTTTTCCAGCATGCATTCCTGCCCTGGAAACATGTGAGGAATCACCATCACAGCATTCATCCCTGAACAAGGTGAGAATTCAAATGTGAGCACTTCAGGCCTTCCAGAGCAAGGACAATTTTATCCACTATTAGCCAAAAGCAGTCTAAGGGAAGTGCTACTGTACAAAGGATTTGTACAATTCATTTGAAAATTAGTTGGGTTTTTTTTTTTTAACACCTAGGGGCACAAATGAAGACCTGACCTTTAAGTAGTTTGGAGTAACTCAGCTCATTCTCACTGTTTCAAGGCTACTGAAATGCAAGTTTTAGCAACAGCTACCACAGCACATGCACTGTTCTGGGATTCAACAGGTGTCAAGTTTCCGAGCTTAGAAACAGCAAAGATGAAACTGTACACTGTAAGTGTAATGTTATAATGTAATGAAACTGTGAATGGAAAAGAAGGACTTCAAAAATATTGCTTATGCAACCTATCTACTTTCATGTACACAAAATTTAGCTCCTTATTCACCTGCTGCCTAATGTGATTGGGTTTGAAACATGGTATCTATAAAAATATTTGAGAAGAGTCAGTGAATCAAACTCAGGGAGCTGTTTGCATTCAGTTTCTCACTTAGTCACATCACTTCAAAACAAAAGTCATTTTTAGCACCACAAAACCACCACCCTACCTTTAACCTCCCTATCCTGATCCGTGGCAATTCACAGCATGAAAACACCAGGTTTTCTGAACACTGAAACCAACAGACTTTATATCACTTTATAGCAACTTAACTCCTCAAAATGATTAGGAAATTCCCACCCTGGTGCTCACCAAGCCCTCAGATACATTCATCAAACTGTGATGTGAGCCCATGGTGTAAATCAGATCTTTGGTTGTTTTTTGATATCATGATTTATTTTTAATGCTGGTCACTCCTTGGGCACTGGTTAGAGCAGCATTCCACCAGCAGCAGCAGTCCAGACACAGACAAACCTTCCACAGGGTAAACATGGGACCTGGAGCATTTTATCTCTGTCATCTCACTGCAGTACACAGGTACCAGCACCCCTCACTCCCTCAAATTAACTGGTTAGTATAATTAAGTATAATTAAGTTCATAATTGAGTCAGAACAACTGCTTCAATCAGAATGAACTACCAGTCTGCTATTTCTATTTCTATCTCTATCTAAACACACATCTGTTTCCCCAACAGCAGCTGGCCTAATAAAAGGTACTATCTCCATTATAAATCTTGTCCTGGTTCACTTCACAAAACTGCAGGCCAGAGCTCCCACACCATCCTAGGTTCAAATCAATCAACAGCACTTTCTAAACTTCATTTTAAGTCATATTTTAACTCAGGTTAGTGAACCTAGTTTGACCTCAAGGCAGCACTGCCAACCCTGACAGTATTCATGTAAAAGAGGCAAGCAGAGGTTTCTGTGCTCAAAATGACATCAGTGTGGAGCATTCACCTTGGAGCTCTGGAATCCCTGGAATGCAAACCTGTAACCTTTGGCTGCAGTGCATGAGTGGACCAGGGAAATGACCCATTCTGGGAAGTATGCTGGCCTTGAGAAGTTCCATTTCCTCCAGGACAGCAGATTCCAAACTGGGAGTGCACAAAGGAGCCAGTGTTCAGGAGCTGCTGCATAAACCCCGTTGTGTTCAAGCTGCAAGAGATGCCAAGCTCCAGCCTGTGCTGGGCTGAGGTGATGGCACAGCCTGCAAGCAGCTGGGAGCACTCAGTGCTGGGCCTGCCTCAGTCCCTGCTCTCTGTGACTCTGACTGTCCAAACCATTTCACTGAAATACCCCAGGACACTGCACTGCCCCTGGGTCCCTCTCCTCCCAGCTTCTCAGAAGAGGACAATGTTCAGGCACTTTTTGGAGGTGTTTTGTTCTTGGCCAGGGCTTGAGCTGCACATGGAACACTCACATCCATGGGAGGATCTCTGTGTGCCCACCAAGGGTGGCTGATGACAGGTAAGGAACTCAGAGAACTCCACTTGGGAGCTGGAATGGAAGAGCAATTTCACCTAACAAATGAAAGCTGAAATACAACCCACCTATTCATTGTGAGCAGCTAACACTCCCCTTCCCAGCAGAAGGGATATCAAGAGTGTGTTGTGCTTTCCCAATGTACCCCAAAACCACTGCACTTCACAAGAAGTATTTTGTATTTTGTAAAGATTGGGGTTATGGAACACCACTGTTGCCAAGTTCTGTTCACTGCCTTCATGACCATCAGTGCTGCTCACAGAGAACATTTGTTGGGTGCTCTGTACTCACCCCCAGCCTCTTCCTTTGTTCCACACTTAATTTTTCATTTATCTTTTTTTTTTTTTTTACTTTTCAAGGATGCACCTCTTCCTGTGAAAAACTCCTTGCAAAGAAACTTTCCAAATTCTAGAGTTTAGATCTTCCTAAATTTTAGGTATAACCCAGCAGAAGCTGCTGCTGCTGAAGGGTGGCAGGCAGTACCCCAGAACCAGACTTCAGCTCCATGGAGGGAGACTAAAACACTGTCAGGAAGCAGCCATGGCCAATGCAAATAAGCTACACAATTATCAGAGGCTCTGAATGTTTATCACTCCCAGAAGCTGACAATAAGCTACTTTCATTCCCCAATTTTAAATGGATTTGTAAACATTTAGGTAAGTTTCTCCTGAGTGCTGTAAGAGCTGAGGTTTACAAAGTCAACGCACCAAGGCTGCAACTCCTCACAAAAAAAACTGCTGAGAATATTTGCAAATCTGGAAATCCTGAGCTGTGACAGGGCCCACCACCATTTTTGGTAGCAACCAAGGTAAACCTCTTCAGGGCAGGAAAGACATAAAGGCAAAAGCACACAGGATTTCCTTACTCTAAGTCCTCCAACACACCAGGAACAGTGTTCATCTGCAAAGGACAAGGTGCAAAGCATCCAACAGCTCCTCTTCCAAAATAATTACCCAGGAAAAAGGCAGGCCCAGGGTGTCCATGAAATAGATGTTTCGTATTCCTAACAGATCTCTGCAGTTTCCCCCAAATTAAACCCTGCAATAACAGAAGACAAAAGCTTTGACTGTACCATGGCACAAGGAGAAAGCAGATGTGTGCAGCCATGGCAGAGCCCCAGCTCACAGCTCCAGCTCTGACTCACACTGTCACTGCTATCAAAAACATTAATCTTTCATGGGGATAGGAAAAAACTGACTCAGATCATGGAAAAATGCATTTGCATGATGCAAATCTAGTAGGTGCATTTTAATTCTCAGGGCTGGTGAAGGCATTGAGACAAGTAGTGGGGTGCCAAACCCATCAATTTGCTCTACAAAATGGTTTTATTGTAAAGTGGAGATGGGATGTCAGCTGCAACAGAACACTTGTGAAAGGATAAAATTAGAAAACATTTACATACACATTTTAAGGGAACAGTACCAACAGACTTTCCCCAAGCAGAAGAGCACAGATTATCTTAGGCCAGTTTGCATGAGTGGAGCTTTAGCTGAGTGCTGGATCCAGGAGCTGACACCTTCCTCTTGCAGGTGCCAAGGCTCCCAGCCACTTCTCAGCCCTGCAATTTATCACTCAAACCCAGCCTCTGCTTTTGGCAACAATGCCTTAATCACTGTTAGCTTTTTGAAAAAAGTTGATCTAATTCACTTCTCAATGCATATTCCCATAAAAGAGAGAGCAAGAAATCCTCCTACTTTGGCATTCTGTTTTAATTCTTACCAGCAGCAAGGTGTGAGGTATGGTCAGACACTGCACCATCCTTGCAATCCACTGCTACACCTTCCTGGCACTTGATTTTAACTTCCCTTGCCAAAAGATGGACAACCAACACCTTACTTGTGTAAGGGGTACTTCCTGTTCCCCTGTGTGTACTTCCTGCTCCTCTGTGGTTTTGCAGATTTTATTTTATTTTTACACCATGGATATTAAGCACAATGGCTGCTGTTAAAGCAATATGGACCAAGAGCAAATCAGAAATATTTGCTTAATTCTAAATATCTCAGCTGTCCTCATTCAAAGCTATAAAACTCCAAGAAAAGGTTTACAGTTTCCAAAGTGAGATGACCAAAGTCTTCCTCATGTCACCAGACTGCCTGAGCATGTGAAAGTCAAAAAATACCCCAAAACATCTACTGTGATGAAAAGAGGTATATACATGCCTGCTACTTTTATTTTAGAATATTAAAACCAACATAAAACACATCACAGAGCTGTTGCTCCAGTACTGTGAGGTCACAGCGAAGAAAAAGCTGAAAACCATTAGTTAATGCATCACTATTTTTCAGGAGATGCTGTTTCTACATTTAAGGTGAAGCACAAGGTGTCTTAGGGATTTTTTTTGTTTTCCTGACCAGTCATCTGCATGGGAATTAAAAAGTTGGATGTAAAAATTCAGCAGTTGTGCTCTGACAGTGTGAGAGGGGATATTAAAGGGAGCCTGTGTGGGCTGATAGGAGCAGAATTACAGCCTGCAGAGGAGAGCCCAGCACACAGCTCAGGATGGGGATGTGTGCATCTAAACCCAGCCAAACCTGCTGGTCAAAGGGATCCACAAACCCCCAGAAACTTCCCAGTGACGGAACAGAACAAGAACAGAACTTACCTGTGTGGGCTGATGCAGCTTGCAGAGTGTTTCTGCAGAGTGAATGTGTCTGAAAGCCCCAGGCATGTCCTGGAACTCAGAGTGGAGCTCTCCCATCTGGCAGAATTGAGCACTCATCTGCCTGACTGTAATAATTACAGATTCCAAGGCCACATTCATTAACTTCACCAGCAGCCACATACTTGCAGTGGATTCTCATGCAGCTCTGGCTTGTCATTTCCTCATGAAAGTGACACTTCTGGATTTATTCTTGTTCCTTATCAGCCCTTCTGTGTGGCCTACAGCAAGGGGCCTGCAAGACTTTCTGCTGTCTGATCTCAAATTGGCAGGAGAGTTCAATTCTACTTCAATTCTCTCTTTTTAATTTTTATGGCAGGAACTGCACATCAGTTATGTCTCAGGCAAATGAGAGTTGTGGTCTCTGCAGCTGATGGACTCACAGCTGCCATGAAGCAGGTCCTGAGTGAAAACCAATCCACAGATAAATGGGGACATTATGAACTGTCACAGAAATGTCACAGGGCTGGAAGTTAAGTTGCCCACAGTGAAGTTTCAACTCCTAAATGCTCCTGTTGGCTTCAGGGCAATGGAAATTTATCTGCCCAGCTCTGAAAATGGCCATGGCTGAGCACAGACTCTCCTGACTGATGGGAAAAGCTGGGAGCTGGCAACAGTTTGTAATGCAAAGCTTGGGAATCCCTGAGAGCCGAGCCGGGGCTCTGACAGCAGGCACTGAGTGTGCTGGATGAATGCAGCAAGATTAAAGCATAGCTACAAGTCCTGGCCCAGATAAAACCTGCAGATGAAATGTCATGTTGTAGGTGTGTAAAACATGTTACCACTCCTTTCATTAGAGGCCAGTCTAAAAGTGTTTCCATCAGACAGGGCTGGGATTAACCAGTGACACTTTAATTCCCAGGGAAAAGGTGTCAGTGCAGCAGGAGAAGAGGCAGGACTGTTCAAAGACTGTCTCATTTTGTGGTGCACACCTGCAAATAAGCTTGGCAACATGAGCACTATGGTAATTTCATCTCTCAAATATTTAGTGTACAAGGTCTGATTATTAAAAAATATAGAGATGTTTTCATCTCTCAAAGATACATGATTGCAGGTGTTTGTATACAAGTGCAAAAATCCAGCCAAATGAAAACAAACTGAAGAAAAAAAGAATGAAGAATAAGAAAACAAACAGAAATTGGGATACCACCTGTGTTTACTGAAGTTAAAGTGTCTCAAGCTGAATTGAAAATGTATTTTTCAGAGAAAGAGGAAACACCAGCTATGATGAGAACTTCATTAAATGTTTGACTAACATGACAAATAGAGCTGTTAGTGCAAACACACAGATGAACAGACAAACTGAAGGTAAAGAGCCAGCTGAAAGAAACTCATGTACTTGGATAACAGATGGAAGAACTCACCTATGGAGTGCCATAAGAACTCATTTCAGCAAAGATCTCCAAGGCACTGGCTCAGAAAGTGCTCATCAAAAGGTTAAGGTGCATTGTCAGCACAACACACAAAAACAAATGCTTGAGAACTGGAACCCCAGGAACAGAATGAAATTCATGGGAAATCCAACAGAATGAATTTAATATTTGGCATGATACATTAGGGAGCTGTGAATTGGAAGCTAAAGAGTTAAAGGTGACTCTGGAGTAAGATCTCCATCCTGTTACATTAAATGAACAGCAAAGTAAAAGGCACACAGAACAGCAGCCTGCTGCAGTGCCTGATTTCCTGCCAGGTATTTGTCAATATCTATTTTAACCTCCTGAAGGAGTCTCAAGAAGGGGTTTTGGTGTATTTTTCTTCTCTGCAGCTGTCCCTTAACATGTCTGCAAAGTAAACTGTGCTGGGATCTTCTCAGAGCATCTTCCCTCACCAGCACACTGGAGCAGGCAGAACTGACAGGGACACATCGAGGGCACTGAGCAGCACAACAGCTCTTAATTCATCTCAGCATCTAATTAAAAGCAGAGATTACAATAATCAGGGCAGGACAGTAGTGCCTGCTGCTGGAAGCTGATCTGATGGCACAGACTGCTTTTCTGCAACAGTGAGATGTTTCCTGAGATCATTTCCAGATAGAGAAGGAAGATCTATGTCCTTTTTTAAGACTCTCTGCCTTTCTACGTAACTGAAGTTTGCTGGCTCCAACAAAACCCACGTTTCTTGCCACAGTGATACATTGAAATAAGATTTATCTGGGGAGAATTGTCTTGTTTTCCTCAGCCATGACAGCTTTTTGAGTTTTAGTGTGATCATTTGAAGTCATCACTTGTGGAGAACAGAATGTTGCTATTCACTACTTCAAAGGACCCAGATTTCACTTGTTGCTTTTTTGAAGCTGCAGTGTAGTGCAGAAAGTTTATGTGCCTAATATAGCTTTCACATGGTTGAATAAGCAAACCAGATAAATGCCACCTTCCCCAGCCTCTGGAATCTCACGATAGCATTCCTTCCAGCACATAAAAGCCATTTTCTGACAGCACTTAGAACTGAGGCTTGTTTAACAATATGAGCAGGAACTGTGAAAAGGTCTGGTTCCACACTGAATTACCTTCATTCTCATAATAAAAATTAATGTGTGAACTTCACTAGACAGAGTGTTTTGGGATACCTCACAGCATATTCACTACCCTATACTTTGGGTTTTCACCAATTCCCCAAAAAACACATGATCAAACTACTAAATGTGCCATCAACATATGGAACAAACCTCCACTTTTCTGCTTTTTGGGGTTTTTTTGGTAGAATAAAAGCAACAAGTGAACTGAGTCCTCATCATATCCCTCTGCAGGGAAGTGCCTCAGAATGAAATCAGCTTACAGTGAATGGGCTGATGTGTTCCAGCCCTAAGGCACACATTCAAATTTAACCACGCTTTCCATGCCACTGTTCATGCAGAATTTTTGTGGGATCTCAGGAACTTTTTTATCCTTTTGCTCCATGCAAATTCAGGTTAAGTTTTTCCCAAATTTCTTAGTGTAGAGAAGCTGTTAGATGACCATTTCCCACTCTGTGTAATAAAAAGCAAGGCTGCAGTTTTATAGTCCTTGCTCTTTAACAACAGTACAAAAACCCCCAACTGAATATTAAATTTTCTAAGTACTGCAAATTGCCAAAAAATGTCCATATATTACTTTCATTTGCACGTGGCACCAACTGCAGCAACCTGCTAATTTCAACTAATTCCAGAAATCTATTTTTTCTTGTTTTACCATGGCTACCCACAGCATTTGAGCCTTCACTTTCAGAAGCTCTGCAAAGCGTTATCAACAAGAAGTCAGGAAAAACACACATGAAGAAAACTCCTCAAGCCAGCCTCCCAAATTAGTCACAAAAACAAGAATCTCCCAGCCCTTTCTGGTGATGGCATGTGGAAGAAATATCAGGAAAAAAATGGCCCAGCAAAGCAGCATGGCTCAAGATTGTTTTGGTAGCATTACTCCTCTGGATCCCTGCAAGAGTCAAAAAGACAAAAATAACAAAACTCTCCCATCTGTTGGTCCCCACACATCATTTTTTCCTTTCCTCCAAGGCAAAATCAGGGTGCATTCCACAAAAGCAGGCAAAGTGCAGAGTGCCTCCTCTCCAGTACCCCCCAAACCATGGGCTCCCTCCTGTCCATGGAAAGCACCCCCTTGTCCCCTCATATGACAGAAATTAGGGACTGGAAGGCACAGCACAAACAGCAGGTTTGTCACTACCAAATTTGGCTAAGTGCTAGTTTTTACTAGCTGAGCACAAAGCTTACCTGTCAACTGACTGGTTGGTTGAAATATTCAGGTTTATTACACAAAATGACAGCTTTTCTCTCTCACTTTTATTCCAGGAAGCATTACACCCTAATGAAATCCACATTAACTATAATAAATGATTTTTTTCTGAAAGGCAATGCATATCTGAACTCTCCCTGAAGCACAGCAGCCCCATAAACACCCCCAGTGCTGGAAGCAACACTGAAGAAAAAGCTCAGTAAAGAGCAGAAGGGAGAGATCAAGGCAAAGTCTCAGATGCTGTGTGCTCCAAGGAGGAACCCAGGCACTGCTGCCAGCAGCCAGGGTGTCACAGACACAGCAACAGCAGCCACCTTCCAACGGAAGCAGCCAGAAAAGAATCCTCAACAAGTTCAAGCAAGGCAGGAATGTGCTTGTGTCATCACCCTTTCAGCACTACGTGTACCTTGATTTTCCTAATGACTCATTTATGCAGATAAATGCCTAAAAGGAGTTCTTCTTGGCTCCAAAACCTAAAGTGCTTGTATTTATCCACCAATCACCTTATCAGGTGAGCAGCAACTCCACAGGCTGGAGCTGTCTGCCCTGGTATGGCCCAAGCTGGCCTGGCAGAGCCATATCCACATCCACCATATCCACAGTTTGTGCTGGGCATAACCCCACACAGCTTTGTGGGGTTTTTTAAACCTCCAGCATCTTTACCAACACTTTACAGAATTTTTTCACAGTAGATATTTCAAAACAGGGGTATTTATCCACTTAAAAAACCAAAACAAGACATTGAAAGTTGCTGCTGTGGAGCAGCAACTCCACAGGCTGGAGCTGTCTGCCCTGGTATGGCCAAAGCTGGCCTGGCAGAGCCATATCCAGTTGGTGCTGGGCATAAGGACATTTTGTGGGGTTTTTTAAACCTCCAGCATCTTGACCAACATTTTACAGGAACTTTTCACAGTAGGTATTTCAAAATATGGGTATTTATCCACTTAAAAAACCAAAACCAGACATTGACATTGAAAGTTGCTGCTGTGGAACAGCAACTCCACAGGCTGGAGCTGTCTGCCCTGGTACGGCCCAAGCTGGCCTGGCAGAGCCATATCCACATCCACCATATCCACAGTTGGTGCTGGGCATAAGGACAGTTTTGTGGGGTTTTTTAAACCTCCAGCATCTTGACCAACACTTTACAGAAATTTTCACAGTAGGTATTTCAAAACAGGGGTATTTATCCACTTAAAAAACCAAAACAAGACATTGAAAGTTGCTGCTGTGGAGCAGCAACTCCACAGGCTGGAGCCTGGTATGGCCAAAGCTGGCCTGGCAGAGCCATATCCAGTTGGTGCTGGGCATAAGGACAGTTTGTGGGGTTTTTTAAACCTCCAGCATCTTGACCAACATTTTACAGAAACTTTTCACAGTAGGTATTTCAAAATATGGGGTATTTATCCACTTAAAAAACCAAAACAAGACATTGAAAGTTGCTGCTGTGGAGCAGCAACTCCACAGACTGGATCCTGGTATGGCCCAAGCTGGCCTGGCAGAGCCATATCCAGTTTGTGCTGGGCATAAGGACAGTTCTGTGGGGTTTTTAAACCTCCAGCATCTTTACCAACATTTTACAGAAATTTTCACAGTAGGTATTTCAAAACAGGGGTATTTATCCACTTCAAAAACCAAAACAAGACATTGAAAGAGAACTGCAGGAACTGTCAGGCCAGAGAGCTTCAACACTGCCAATACCTGTCCCTCCTAAGGCAGCAATGTGTCCCTAACCCACCAGTTATCCCCAGACCCACCAGTCATTTCTGGGACTCTTAGGTCTCCACAGGACATGGCATCTTCAGGCTTCCAGTGCCTTCCAACTTAACTCTGGCAAGTATCCACCACAACTGCAGTTTTTTCCATACTGCTCTCTTGGTAATATCCAAATACAAAATGCCTCCTCAACGGCCATCTGTACTGTATTTATAAACTAAGATCTTCCTCACTATCTGTATTTCCACTACAATATCTCTCATTATGATTACTGTGTTCATTTGCACTTGGAATATAAAACATTCCACATAGTAAATGTTTATAATATTATCACAGAGGAGCTACAAAGTGTCCCTTTATTAGAAAGCACATCTCTCTTTATTCAGTCTTCTTGGGTAAAGCAAGCAAACAAATGTTGTGGCCAAATCACCTCAAAATAACAGCACAGCTCAAAGAAAAAAAAAACCCAAGTGATGAAGAGCTGCCTCTGCAGACAGATGTACCAAACAGACTGGGACAAGGCAGCTTGGAAAAGGAAAAGAACCCAAAGAGAGAAAACTGAGATCACTGAGACCTGTAAAATCATAAATGAGGTGCTGATGCAAAACTATTACAAAAAGTATGAGGGATTCAATGAGATTACAGTTTAAAAAGAAGCAAAAAAAAACCCCAGAAGCCAGGTATTATTTTTGCACAAGTTGAGAGATTCATCACAGGGCATTCTGTGGAAGCTCCAGGTACAAACTGTTGGAAATGTTCAGGCAATGCCCTCAAGGACAGGTCCAACAGGCACTGCCAGCTCAGGCCACCTCAAAACCAGGAGCTGGGGATGAAGCCTGAGCTGCCTGGGGCTGCTGCTCCTCTCTCCCCTAATGATTTCCTCCTGGCCACTGTCACAGACCACATGCTGAGCCCAACACACTTTCTGCAGCTCTTCTGATCCCATTGTTCACATCCTCTGCTAAATGTGCTCATGTGAAAGAATGATTTCCCCAGCTCTGAAGTGCAAGGCATTAAGAACACACTATTTACAAATAATGCACAGTTTAAGTCACTTCCTTCACTTGATTAAATGGAATGTAAGAATTGAATGAAATGCTGAGCGTTTACATTTCCTGTCACCCCATTTTATCAGGTTTGCAGCTCATTTCCTACCACCACCATTTCATTTCAGTGCCTTGCACAAAGCAGTCCTAGACACCTGCTTTCATCCAGTGAAACCATTAGAAGAATCAATTTGCTCTGCAAGGCAAGGAGAGTGATGGACTCCTATGTTTACTTAGCAATAAGCACACAACTCTTTAATTAGATCTGGATGCTGAAAACTGCATCTTTGAGGCGACAGCCAGGGCCATGGAATGAAGCATTTCAATTCGTTACATAAATCAATGTTTTCAGGAGGTTTTTTTCTGCTTGTAACTGCTGACTTCCATATGGAAACAGTGTCACAGGTAGAGGCAGATCTCCCACC